AGGCACGGCGCCAGAATTTTTTCTCTACTGGTGCTAAGGGGGGGGGGGGGCTAGACCAATATGTGGGGGTGCTAAGAAAATAAATGATATTGATGACGTCAAGAGTAAACCGGGGCTATTCAAAATTCTGACGGGTCTATAGCCCCCCCTAGCCCCGCTGTAGCGCCGTCACTGTGTGTGAGAGTGATGTGCGTGTGGCGCTGACCCTGCACAGCTCCTGGTTGAGAAGGTTCCACTGTTCCCCGTAAGTCTTCCTCAGCTGCTGCTTGTCCCGGATGAGGAGGGTGAGTTTGCTGAGGGGTCCCACCATCAGATCCTCCGAGTGCTTGCGCATGATACGACTGAGGCTCTCCGTCTGACTGACCAGCACGTTCCACGACTGTGAGAGAGAAAATTAAGTTTTAGGATGTAGGCATTGAAAATGTGAATGCATGATTATATTTGATTGTGGTGCATGCACCTCTGAAGTGAAAGCAACAATCAAAAAATGACTTGCATTCTAAATGTTAAAAAATTGCATACTCCGAGAAAATAAAGCAATTTTAGGCCTATGCTCAATTAGAGGTTTTAGCATCATTGTAGAGTCTAAACAGTTGGAAGTTCAGCAGGAAAAAAAAGTCTAGAATATCAGAGAAAGCCTGAGGGCTTTTGGCAGCAGGTTTTTAGATTGTTACAGTGCAATTTCCCATTCCAGAAACAGGGCACTTTCTATGCCTTTAAGCGTTAAAGGGATAGTTCACACAAAAATGAAAATTCCGTCATTAATTACTCACCCTCATGTCGTTTCAAACCCATAAGACCTTCGCTCATCTTCGGAACACAAATTAAGATATTTTTGATGGAATCTGAGAGCTCTCTGACCCTGCATAGACAGCAATGCAACTGAAATGTTCCCAAGTCCAGAAACGTAGCAAGGAGATCTGTTAAATAATCCACGTGACATCAGGGGTTAAAACGCAAGTATACGAAGCTACGGGAATACTTTGTGTGCAAAAAAAAAAAAAAAACTATTCAACAATTAGTCTCCTCCGCATCACCCTGTAGCGCCATTTTGGAGAATATCCACTGAACGTAAGCAGCGTATGCTGTTCTGTTTTTTCTTTTGCGCACAAAAAGTATTCTCGTAGCTTCGTATTTGAACCACTGATGTCACATGGATTATTTTACAGATCTCCTTGCTACGTTTCTGGACTTGGGAACATTTCAGTTGCATTGCTGTCTATGCAGGGTCAGACAGCTCTCAGATTCCATCAAAAATATCTTAATTTGTGTTCCGAAGACGAACGAAGGTCTTACGGGTTTGAAATGACATGAGGGTGAGTAAATAATGACAGAATTTTCATTTTTGTGTGAACTAACCCTTAAATATCACGTGGAAAGTAAGGATTCAGACTCAGCACAGATCATTTCAAGATGGATATATCATCTAAATGCATTAAAATCTCTAATATAAATTGGAATCAATCACTGGAAATTCCAAATACAATTCTTCGGAAACTTAATACTTGCTAAGGAGATCCTTCCAACCTTATTGAACTGGCTGATGTAGTCGAGACCTCCTCCGGGCTGAGATCCTTCCAGCTTCTCAACAATGGCTGACATCTGATGCAGCTGCACGAAGAACTCGCGATCGCTCTTGGCCCGCTGCGTCATCCATTTCTTCATAACCTCCATCAAACGCAGCTCAGAGTCTTGTAGTTTCATTAGGGCGGCGTGACCCTGAGGGCACCACAGATCCTCCGCGAAGCCCATACCTGCAGCACACTACAACAGCAAATTGTGTTATTATCAGTTACCAAGTAGTCAAAAATAATAACTAATAGTCAAAATTACCTACAGTGTGTATCTGTCAGCAGAAGTATGTTGGTAAAAGAAACTTGCTGGTCGGGTGAATGAGAAACACCACAAACCAAGATCTACAGAAAGAGGAAGAATATTATAGACTTCTAAAACGCTTTAAATGCGCATTTCATCACATCATTGAAGCCTTTTGTGTGCCTGTTGCAAAAAAGGATTGCAATAAACGTGGGAGCGCTCAGAAGCTTTCATTTCTTCACAAGCAATTTAGGACAAGAAAGGGATGTTGTCTATAATCACCACTTCCCATATCGCAACGGCATATCAAATGTGAAAGGTTATTTAATAGCAAACGGCTCAGTCATAAGGAAATACTCTGAAATGCCAAAAAGTTAACGATTCACAAAGCATACGATCTACTTTGTGTACAGCAGTAAACAAAATAGTGTTCTTGTTCCAAAACACAGAATTATTATTTCCATCTCTGCAGTTGTTAACCACTATAGGCCTACTTGAACTAAACTAGCTATTAGCTACATATAATTACTTCTTATTAGATACATATGAACTTTAAAATTACACAAACAACAAAAAGAGTATGAGAACTAAACTTAAACATATAAAACACGTAAAATTTATATAAAGACTATATCTTGTTTAAGCAGTAAGTAACTCATATTGATTTCCATGTGAAATGTATTTTCCACAGCCCGTTTTTGTTTGTGTGCCTACTGTATTGACCCATTACAGAAATTAATACGGTCACATACATAACAAAATAGATAAATACGTTGAATAATAATACAAAATCATCCAGATGTTCAAAGATTAAAACAACAAATTCCATAACGCTTAATAAATGAGTTGTTTATCGTCTTAAGGAGATGGCGTCGTGACGTCACCGAGCGTTTCAGCATTATTTTATAATTATGAATTATATTCTTAAATAAATCAAACAGTCAGTCATCCTTACATAGACCGACTATATAACACCAGAGCTCCGAATATACAGTCGAGAGACATGAAATCGTGTGAATTCTCACCTCGGATGTGGCTGGCGCAGAGAAACGCACCTGTCAGGGCGACAAGAGCACGTTAGTCTCCATTATAATAAAACGACAAGAAGAAAGAGCGCGTCGAAACGGTAAACTCTGGAGACAGTGAGACAGACGAGCTCTAGCGATGACAGCGGCGGCTGTAGAGCTCAAACCAGGAAGAGTCCGGCAGGCGAGACGCAGACTCACTGCATTCAACACGATTAAACTGCGACTGCACAACACCACCTCAACCACCCAGATACTGACTGCATTACTTTAATTAACCCGGTCTGCTATGAATTTACGTATAAGCTCATATTTGTATTAAAATATGATTTTATTACAATACATTTGATTTAATATCACTAAATATTACAAATAATACTAAAAGCATGTTAAACATGAAACTAGACAAAAGCAATAATTCACAAAATAATTTAAGAAGCTTATGGCATGCATATAGTATGTGCTCTCTCTCTCTCTCTCTCTCTATATATCATTTCTTGAATACATACTTAAAGCCCGATACATTTATAGACAAAGTATACAAACATTAGTAGCACAATAGTTTATTTGCATGTTACCATTACTATTTGTGACCATGGACCACAAAACCAGTCATAAGGGTCCATTTTTCGAAATTGAGATTTATACATCATCTGAAAGCTGAACAAATAAGCTTTCCATAGATGTATGGTTTGTTAGGATATGGCAATATTTGGCCGAGATACAACTATTTGCATCTGAGGATCCCAAAAAAAAAAAAAAAAAAAAAAAATCCATGCATATTACTAATCAAATTTTATTTCTTTTTTTATGATAGAAAATTTACAAAATATCCTCATGGAACATGATCTTTAATTTATGTATTGTTGGCTATTGGTACAAATATACCCGTGCTACTTACGAGTGGTTTTGTGGTCCTGGGTCACATTTGTTTTATGGTTTAAATGGTTACTAAACATTAAACACCTATAACAGGCCATTTAACTAGTTGCATTGTGACAACATGCCCTGCAGTAGGGTATAGTGTTACAAAAGATCAATGCGTGTTCAATAACTTTGTGTTTTTCTTTTTTTGACTAAGTGATTCAGTTTTTTTTTTAGGGCAAGGCTGAAGATGGTGCAAGTAGTTTGTGAACTGGCCCATATTGTGTCCTTGTCTTTGTTTCGAGCAGTCGTAAGAAACAATGGTTTTGAAAGGCCGATTAGTGCTCTCCAGTTACCGCCAATCATTTTGATAGGATATGATGAAGAAATCAGCACATCATCGCATTAACTCTGTTGGGTTTCTATTGCACAGATTCCATAGAAAACATTGTCATTTCATAAAGATACCGCATAAGAGCAACATATGTGGATCACGAATATGTAATTCAGATAAAAACAAAAATACAACAGTACTATATTCTGGACAGATGAGCGGACAAGGCCAAGCGTACTACTAATAGCAAACAGTAGTAAGCAAAGAAAATTACCTGATGAAATGATTTGAGCAGACGAATACAAGCAAATGTCTATAAAACCCAAGCTGCTCTGGGTGAGGGTCATCACAGCCCTTTCTCTGACTTATTTCAAAAATATATATATATTCAATAAATATACACAGTACACAAAATACACTTTCATTTTGAATGCGATTAATCATTTGACAGCACTATATATAAAATTTAGAGGCATTTGGACTTTTTTCCACCTAAGAAAATCATGCAGGTTTGCAATGACATGAGGGTGAGCAAATAATGTCAGGTTTCATCTTTTGGAGAACTATTACTTTAAACAGCCTACTGTACATAAAATAATCATGAATTTGTCAATGTAGATGCTCTAGGGGGAGCAGTAAGCTCTTCAAACATGTTTAACAACACACCGCTCTGCTCTCCATCTGATCATGTAGAAATAGTGATATGTTCTTCTAAAAGGCTCCCTGCGCAAAGCCAGTGGATCCGACCCACTGGAGCACTGACTAACTTCATATAAACGTAGTTTCACTCACACACACACACACACACACACACACACATTCACTCAAAGAAAAGCTTTGTTTTTCTCGTATGCGAATAATTCAATCTTGTTGTTTCCTCATTTGACAGCACTATATATAAAATTTAGAGGCATTTGGACTTTTTTCCACCTAAGAAAATCATGCAGGTTTGCAATGACATGAGGGTGAGCAAATAATGTCAGGTTTCATCTTTTGGAGAACTATTACTTTAAACAGCCTACTGTACATAAAATAATCATGAATTTGTCAATGTAGATGCTCTAGGGGGAGCAGTAAGCTCTTCAAACATGTTTAACAACACACCGCTCTGCTCTCCATCTGATCATGTAGAAATAGTGATATGTTCTTCTAAAAGGCTCCCTGCGCAAAGCCAGTGGATCCGACCCACTGGAGCACTGACTAACTTCATAAACGTAGTTTCACTCACACACACACACACACACACACACACACACATTCACTCAAAGAAAAGCTTTGTTTTTCTCGTATGCGAATAATTCAATCTTGTTGTTTCTTAAAATCTCACTAGGCAAGAGGAAGAGACCAAACAATAATCATGTTTATTGTAAATCCGGGACAACCCTGTGACCATCGGCTCATCCCCGTCGCTTGTGATTGAAAGCTTTCCATGTTGAGGCACCGAGAGAGGTCAACCCCCAGGTGAATCATGGCTCACATAACTACAACAGGTGCGAAAAACAAACCAAAACCCCCAGAAGTGAGATATGCTCAGACGAACCCCAGAAGAAAATCACACTAAAAAAGAGACACCAGTGCAGTAGAGGCTAGAGAGGGGAGGAACGTGGGCAAGAAAGGGGTTAAAGAGCACTTTGTGTTTTGATAAAGCCAGTCCTCTCATTGCGGATCTCGAATTCCTCGTTCTCGGACTCGGAATTGCCCTCGTCCTCCCTCCAAACGCTCGGGATGCCCTTGTAGGCCACTGCGGTGCGGTTGAAACCGAACCCGACCAGTAAGCTGGATCCTGGCCCGGCTTCTGCGGACAGCGGTTTGTTCTGCTTGTGCGTGTGCATCTGCAGGAAGCCAAACATGGCCACAAACGCAGCCACAATGAAGGCACAGCTGAGCACAGCCACAGTCGCAGGCAGGCGAGAGGCGAGCTCTGGGTGCAGTTTGACGGACGAGCCGCCTCCTTGCATCTGGAACAGCCCGCCGTCCGGAGACTCGCGATGGATGTGGTTCTGGTGCAGACAGGTGCCGCTGACAGGGTCCAGGTGGCTGTGAGGAGGGCAGGAGAGGCAGTTCTGAGGGCTCGTGCCGCTGCAGGTGAGGCAGATGGGGTCGCAGGACTGGCAGGCGGGACGGAGGACGGACGTCACCTCGTTGTTAGGGAGGAAAATGGAGCGGGTGCCTGTGGTGAAACCTGCTGGACAGTCTCTCACGCAGCCCTTGTTGTGCAAGTAGAAGCCGGGGTTGCACTCTGTGGGAGGAAGAAACATAATTCAGTTTGGGTTACAAAATACAAGCTAAACTATATTGCTGATTTTTATTTATTTTTTAACCAAAAACCATGTTTACACTTGGATGGACGTCCATGAGACCAGCATTCCTGAGGATTTAAAGGTTAAATTCCAAAGCTTGCATTTTTTGAAGGGCAGTTGATAGTACATTCAGGAAGCAGACATGTTGCAATGTTACATGCTGTACTCAGGGCCGCATTAAGACCGCACTGGGCCCCGGGGCTATGACTTACTGCAGGGCCCCCATCACAATAATGATATATATATATATATATACATACATATATATATATATATATATATATAGGGTATAAAGGAGCTACAGGCCCACCTTAAGAAAAAACGCGCCATTCACTGCGCCTTGTTGTATTGAACATTAATGGAGCAACAGATTTTGTGTGAAAATAAATCAGTCAAAAAGTTGTTTATTTTGTTTAAAAATTTTAGAAATGTATGAGGTGGCAAGAGAGGCCTTTTACCCCACACACGGGGTAAAAGGCTCACCAGCATGAGGTAAAAGGCACACAGTATTTATACAAATACTTCAGCTAAAATAATGTTTTTTTTTTAAATAATGTCCAAGTTAATACTTGTTCAAAACATTCACTTTAGCAAAGTTTGTACTATTTTCTGCTTATTTAGAAAAATAAAAGTATAAATTTTTCTTCCAATAAATATGCTGTTATTAAAATGTGTTAATATAAAAAATATATTTTAAAATACAGAAACAAAATCGTTTTAATAAGTATAGATTCTGAGAGTATTGAAGGAGATCCAATAATAATTGAATATATATTTACAGAAGTAACCGCAAATTATATTTTATTATATTATATGATTAATATCATGTTTTTAAATATGATGGTTTCATTCTAAACATGGTGATTATCTCTAATATGGACACCCAACATAATATATGATATTTACCATCTGAATCTAACCATGTCATGTCAACAAATGGAAAAGTCAGCCATCTATTCATTATCATGTTAATTACTGTGCTCCATTTAGCCCCAACTGCAGGGGGCTAAAATACCATACTTTTACATATTCTTTTGTTATTTAAAAACTGTTGCTTTAATTATCTAAAACAAAACAGATGTTTTGGAAAGTGCTACGCCACGTTTTTGTGCCATCTAGTGGTTTAGATGAAAATAATATCAAAAGCACCTTTTACCCTGGGGTGCCTTTAGCCCCGTTGTACCCAAATATATATATATATTAAAGCTTTAAATAGGATTTTTATACCATATCAAAATTCTTGATGCACTGAAATTTCATAATTTTTGTTACCAATTTCAATATCACAAAAAATAATACTAGACTAAGTAAAAATAAGCTTACTGAAGACAAGTAAACAGTCACAAATTAGGCTACAACAGAACAAAGGCTGCATTATAGTTCACCCAAAAATTCTGTTGATGTTCTAAACCTGTATGAGATTCCTTCGTGCTGTTGAACACAAAAGAATATATTTGGAACAATATTGGAAACCAAACAGTTGCTGGGCCCTTACTACTTCCATATATGGGAAAAAACACTATTGGAATCAGTTGGGACCAGAAACTGGTTACGATCATTCTTCAAAATATCTTTTTATGTTGGAGGAGGAAAAGTAAATTCATAGAGGTTTAGAACAATTTGAGGGTAAGTATATGATGACAGTATCTTAATTTTTGGGTGAATATCCTTTAAAAATCTCATCATATATCTGATCATATAGGATCTCTTATAGCCTAACACATGCTTTATCTTTAACTATTAACATTCATTTCAGACACAAATAACTGTGTTTATGAGGATACTCGCAAAGACGGGCATTTTGACACATAACTATGTGTATTTGACCGTTTAAGCACAAGGAGCGAAAGTTCAGTCAGTAATACGAGCAGGTGTATCAGGTAGAAACTGTTTTAACGCACGCACTTATCTGAATGAATTCTGCCCCACAGTATAATATCCATGAACAGTATAAACCATTTGTTTTAAAACCTGCTTAAAACATCTTGAAATGATAAGCTTAGACTACATCATGACGCGCTTCAATCAACGATTGATATATTTCTACCGGATTATCTCCCAACCCTTAAATTAATATAGTTTGTTCAAACACAAAAACAATATAAATCCAGTTAATAATCAAACTAACCTAAAATCTGTGTGGA